ATGGACTTACTGACGCTCTAGGTTGGCAAGACGTGCTGCCAATTGATGGTAACCTCTGGTTTCAAGCTCAACAACGCGTTGTGTCTCTTCATTGCTTTCATCGGTAAAGACGACCGAAATCAGAACACAAAAAACAAGTACTTTAAACACAGMCATCGTGGTGACTTAATGCCGAGTGGTGAAGGAGCGGTCAGGTTATAAAATCAAAGGGCGGTCACATGGTCTCTTCTCATTGGTAGATCGATATGTTGTTACGTCATAACGTCATGTGCTTTTTCTGCTTTTTTTTCTTTTTTTGGTTGAATTGAAATTTCGTGATCTATCAAGTGATCCATCCGGAGTGGCTAAATGCATATATTGCCATAATTGTCTTTTTTCATTATCTCGTATAGTATCTGATGTTGTTATGGAGTCACGTCTAAACCCAAAGCCAAATTGTTATAAGCTTGATTTACTCGGCGCAATCTGTGCTTGTTTACATTAATATTATCAGTATGCAAGTTGCACTTATATGGCAAAAAAAMCCCACCCCTAATGGTTAATTGAAGTGAATTATTTTAATTTTCTGCTCATCTTTCCACACTCGGTTGATTATTATTAGTATGCAAGTTAGCCTTATATGGCAAACAACAAAAGACACTCTTAAGGGTTCGTTCAGGTGTATTATTTTAAATGTCCGTCCATCGTTCCACACTCGGTTGATTCGTTGTGGGCACGAAATGCTATTTTCGTATTAATCGGAAATACATTGATCAACTGCAACAATCCATTATCATTCAATAGTTTTATAACGATCTATTGTATATTTGATGACAACAAGAATCGGTTTTTGTTGCTCTCAATAAATACTTTAATAGAGAAACCAATGAGGTACATCAACATAACACATGAATATACTAACAAGACGATTTTGGAGAGTGTACTCGTGCATGTCTGRCTTTTTATTGCAAAACCGACTCAACATTGAAATATTTATTATTCAGATTTTTTAATAATTGTTTATGTGGTTTTATTTAAATTGTGAAATACATTTTAGCAAACTGCACTTGATAAAACTTCGTTTTGCAAGTTTTTTCTCGTCTTGAATCGCTCTGGCATTTAATAATGAGTCATTGAAATGCACTCAAGTTTGTAAGCTTTGTTATTTAAAGGAGTTTCATGATTGATATACAGCAATATGCAAAAATTCTGACCACTTTGACTC